TTAGCCAGAATACGTGACATAATCGAGTAAATATGGGAACCAAGTGCATTAATTATCCCCGATAAAACTTTTAACGACTAGTGTTTATATGATCCATTTAAATATTTTTTTTTTCAATATGTATTTGTGTGACTGCTATTCCGAAATATCAAAGAAGCCGTCGTCTTTACACTAGATGCACACATACATGTATGTAACTGTATTGAGCCATTTACTGGTATTAATTTATATGCATATAAATTTACACAGTCGATGTGATGTAGTGTGTAGTTTTGGACTAATTCGGGGTGTTAACATTTTTACTGGCTGGTTAAAAATTGGCAGATGTCGTATAATTTATGCGATGTTTACATTGGCGAATTATAGGGGCATATAATGGAGCTGCATATCATGTCACACAAAGGTGTTAATTGCAGTCAATTATCGGCAGTAATTGTGTTACTGCCAGAGGCCAGGATTAAATTTATTGACAAGAGCTGTGTTATATACACGGGGTAAGTAAAACAGCGCAGTGATTAAGTGAAAGATTACTTTCCATTACTTATTTTTTTTTTTACAAGAAAATGAAAATCCACGAATTTAAGAACCCACGAAAATGCCTGTTTTGATAAAACCACGAAATTTCATGCCCACGAATACAAATGATTTCACAGTATGTGTTTTTGTGTGAATTGTAATGTTCTAGATTAACAATAAATTGTCTCAAAAATTCGATGGAATACTTAAACAATTGGAATAATCTTGCAATGTCCAGCAGTAAGATATTTTGTAAGCTATCACCTGGAATTTGTTTATCCCGCCATTTATATTTTGTCCAGAAATATACGGTGTCTCGGTCAGAAGGATGATATTTTGACGTTGCGCGGAAAAGTTGTGGTAATCGCCCTATCACCGTGCACACCCCTTGAAAAAAATTACGAAGCGAGTCGCTACTAGCTTTTTTAAAAGCTAACCTTGTAAATAATATACAAAGAAAAATCCAATTAGATTCTTCGACTTTAAGATTGAAGGGCATTGGTTTATAATAGAACGTTTATAATACAATTTGATAATAAGGTTGATAGTATTTTACAACAGCCAACGAAAGAATGTGGTCAATAGCCATGGTTTGTTGATGATATAATTATGTTAACATTTCATTAAATTATAAATTTATACAACAATGTAATAAAATGACTATTCAATGTCCATTTCTTCTGTAATCGTCATTCTATACACCTTGGTCAAGTTGACAATGTTTCTTTCTCCCCCTCCCCCCTGTTTTGCTCATGTTCAAGTAATGTTACAACTTTATTTTTCTGGTACCATAATCTGTCTTCAAGTAATGACAAGAAAAATCTGTTAACCCCTATACGGTTCATAACATTTACTTCCAATTCATTATCATATACAGTGAAATTTGAGAAAACCGGACGCTGAGAAAATCGGAACTCTCTAAATACCGGACGTATAATTCAGTCCCAAATTTTCCCTTCTTTTAACTATTGTATTAAACATTGACAATACCGGAATCTTTAAAAACCGAATATCGGACGGTTGATAGGGGACTACACAGTCAATTGTATAGACAATTACCCTGACAATACCGGACGACGAAGGTGTGAATTACCTTGTGTACTTATCAATTGGTTGTGTATAATACGCTAACTGAGCGATAACGGAACAATGATTGTCTGATTTGTTATTATGTCTCATTTCACAGTTTGATTTATTTTAAGGTATATATGTTACCGTTTTATATAAATGCCAAAATGCACGAGGAATTGATAAGTTTAAATCAGTTTGCGGGAGCTGTCTATAAGTGACACATTTGAATTAATTAAAAACAGGGAAAAGTTGCCGAGACCTACTTTAAAAATCTTTATCTGACAAATATTGTATAGGCAATATTTACAATTGGGAAATTATTATAAACAAACAAAGTAAACTACATGTATGTTCGTTAAATCATTATCAATTACCCAAATGTAAACATATGCGGGTGTAATCGGACTTTATCGTTAAATCCAAAATTTCATTGTATTTATATGCAATAATGGGACAAAAACAATTAAAACATATTGTATAGAATTTTTATCATTTTTTTTATTTAGCAATATACTTACTCATAATCATGAAAATGCAAATATACGTTCAGCATCCTTTGTAAGTCATTGCTCGGTTTATATGATCCTGACCAGCTGAAGGGGACATTGAGAATACCGGACCGCTGAGAAAACCGGACAAAACCCTCGGTCCGAAAGCCGTCCGGTTTTTTCAACTTTCACTGTATATATAAGATGATGCCTGGATAAGGCCAATGGTCATACTGAACCCTGCAGTATCTTCCACTTAAAGATTCACCAACCTCAAACACTGTGCCCTAAACTATATGGCTTCAAAGTTACATACATTTTTTAATAAAATCCGAATATTGTTATTGACAAATTCTATTATTATAAGTACGTACCAAAAATGTTTATTATATGTACATCATTGTAGTGTCACTTAATTACAAAAACTGTGCTTAATTTTTTGGATCATAATGTGTGTTTTATTCAACTCAAATCATCTAATATAAACTTGATGTTCAGAAAACGTTCATTTGTAATCATTCGTGTGGTCTAGTCATTATGTCAAGCCGTCAAAATAGTCTATGAGTTTAAATAAAATGCAAATGCTCAACAGGTTTAAGCATATGGAGGGATGGCATTTCCCCTATATTTTGCAAGAAATGGTTATAAGTACTTACACAATTATTAGAAATCATAACAAACAGATAGGCATTCTTCTAGCTGTGTAAAGTATTACAATAAGCCTGTTATAACCTAATAATATAAACAGCTCTTTGTTGGTTATTAAAATATATTTTAAACAAATTTGGCAATTTTGACAGTATGTAATTAACACAAAGGTTTGTTGGTTTTCAGTAAAATCATCATATCAAAGAAAATGCTGTGAAATATTCTTTACATTGTTTTTATAATATGAAATTTTAGGGATGTTTACCCTACATTTTGTCTCCCAAACCTTTTCATGTTTCATTTGATTAAAATCGTTAAAAAAATTTCCTTTGTTGCATGTTTTAAATTTTTCGGGAGGTCCAATTTGAATTTTTTATTTCATAAATAATTCGAGGGAAAAAGGATTTTTTAGGGTTTGACAAAATTAAACCCAAAACGATTTTAAAGGGAGCAAAAAAGACGTTTTAAAATTTGCAAACAATTTAAATTTTTTCTGGGTTTTTAAAAGTCACTTTTATGATGCTTTTTCGGATAAACTTTTAAAAAAATAAGGGGCTAAATCGAAAAAAATGGGGGCCCATTTTTTTAGAAAATAACCTACGTGACCTGATGGTATCTTTGTAGCAGTACAATTTTTTTAGTCACGTGGTACTCTTGCATAAACAGTAAATAAACTGCCGGTGGCCTATGAGAAATTGACATTACAAAAATAGTGAGAAGAAATAAAGTAATTTACCTGCAGACTATGTTTCCGTGTGTGGCCATGTTCACAAAGCTGGTATTGACTAGATTATAGCAGTTGTAATTCCAATTGCAACAGCTCAGGGGGTTCGGGAGAAGATAGTACATGGCCCTGTCAAACAACCTTACATTGTACGCACTAAACTGACATTTATCCATGTCCAAAGATAATCACTAATTTTAAAAAAAAACCTATAAAGCCATTACTTCATCGTAATGATATTTAATAATAATCGCTAATATGAAGATATTTATGAGCGCTTATGACATTTTAGGATTTTGTCATTACTAAAACGATATTGTCACTTCCATAACAAAATATATCGTTTCAGAAATGACCGTTGAGGATATGTAATATTAATATATTTCGGTTGGCAGCCATGTTTGTATACAATATACTTCACAGATTGTTCTTAAATGATAAACATACAGACATACAAAGTAAATGTATCTATTTTAAGCATTTCAATACACATATATATATTGTACTTTTTCAGAATTGAATCGTTCGGTAATGACGGAGATATTGTGTTTGCTTAAATCGTTTCCTACCTTAAAAATGGCTTTCCTCACTTTCCATAACTTCTTTACAATTATTACCGCCAAAAACCTTTAATCATGAAGACATCAATCGATTGGGCTGATTTATATTCGAAATGCGGACAGTAAATAGCGTGTGTCGGTAATGGCATTATGTTTCGTGGAAATACGTGTATGCAATATTTTGAAACTGGATAAAAGTAAGCTAAATAACGTCAAGTATCACTGCGAAAAATATACTGATATACGGGAATATACGGTCCCGTATTTTTGACATATACGGGCGTGTACGGGTTGTATTCGTCGAATATACGGACCAAGTATACGAGTCCGTATAGGAACACCGGGTATACGGGAAGTCCGTATATGCATCAGGCATATACGGAATTCCGTATTTGCCCCATATACATGTACGTATATTTGTTCGTACTTTTGAAGTATACGGAGAATAAAATCCCGTATACGGACTATATTAAGGTTGCTATCCCTAGTATACTATAAATATACCAAGGATATACGGGACCGTATTTTCTACATATACAGAGGATATACGGACTCGTATTTTCTACGTATACAGAGGATATACGGAACCGTATATTCTACATATACAGAGGATATACGGACTCGTATTTCCCACATATACAGATGATATACGGAATCGTATTTTCTACATATACAGAAGATATACGGAAGGGTATTTTCTACATATACAGGGGATATACGGAATCGTATTTTCAATATATACAGGAGATATACGGACTTGCATTTGTTACTTGTTAACAGGGAATACAGAACTGTATTTTCTTGATAAAAGAAGATACAGATAATATCAAAAGCATGCATTTACATATAAGTGACACGTATACATGGCCAAAATGCAGACTTGTACAATAGAACATGTTTTATTACACATTTTGAATGGGAACTGTAAAGTCATATGCTTAAGAACGTTATCTTCACAATTGGAGTATTTCAAATAATAAAGTAAAAACCAAATCGAGTCACTCTTAAATATTTATTACTTCATAAACATATATTCAATATGTATACATATATTAAACAAAATAAACATGTCTTCGCTACAACAGTCATATATTGTTGCAAGCCTTATTCCTGAGGGACAAATTAATGTAGCGTTGCAACGGAACGGCGATATACCGGTATGATGCGATACAGAATCATGAAATACGTATCACAGTGGAGAAAATCCGCACTGCGATATTTTCTTTAGAGATCGAGTTATACATGTACATGTTTCGATATTTTCAAGCCGTAACCTTTATGAATTGCATGTTGTTTAAATGTAGAACAAACTATACCAACTTGAAGTTCGATTCTATTTATCTTAACAATGATTTTTATGAGCCACTTGTATTACACCCATAAAATATTTTAAAGATATTAATATCATTTGTTCGTGTTAACATTCACATATTATTTTAGGAAAATGAGTCCAAAGCACAAATTGATTATTACAGAAAGTTTTAATAATAATCATTAAAACTAAAAATCCGTATTCACAAAAATTCGTCATTCAAACACAGTTCTTAAAATCACTTAAATATATCAATCATCTATAGGAATGTTACGTAGACCAGTGTGACGGTGTTTATTTCGTGACGTAGGAAATGTTATCTCCAGATATTACAATCCTCTTCGGCATGTGTGTATCTGAAAAAGAGAGTTCAATATCCTGTTTAAATAGTGTCGTGAAATAGTTATCACAACCTTCAAAAAGACTATACAGAAGCATTTTTTAAGCGTATACATATATTATACATTTTTTTCTAACGCAAATTTCAAAATTATTTTATATTATTAGGATAAAGATGTCATTTATAAGCAACCATTTACACAGGATTTAAATGAAATGATTAATCTAGGACGGGTGATAAGTTATATGTTTTTGTTAAAAAACCTTTACAAATATATTTATTTCACACCTGCAATATAAATGATATTGGTATCTTTGTTCTATGTAAAGAGTGTTTTATTGATTAAAAATATATTAATACAAAATAACATTGTATCGTTAGTAGGAGTCAATTCGTTTGAAAAAAGGCTTAAAAAGTACAGATATTTGTTACTCAGATGTAGATCCGTGTTTGCACAATGATATCCAGTTAAGTAAAAGGCGGAATACCCAGCTATACTTCTCATTTATATATATAAAAAAAAAACGTTAATCTTAACAAATTTGGATTATTGTTTGTTTCAATTTCAATTGTTTCAAAAACTATCTCAGCAACGAATGAATACCTTTAATAAACAATAGTGTAGATTAATATTTTTTTATTGTTAAGACTGATTAACTAGGTAAGTTGACAATAGAATCTCTTACAGTGTGCCATCTCTAAAAATAAAGTGATAATTCTCACGAAATATAAATCAAAATATCCTCCCTTGCCTATAGCATTAATCTGATAGTATGAAATCAAATTCAGATAATAAAATATAGTATACGTATCATATGTGACAATTGCATAAAATAACATAGGAAATATTTTAGTTAATACATGCGAATGCAACTTTTACGTGCGCACGTGAAACATTTACGTATCAACGCAATATGTTTCACGTGCGCACAAGTACTGTGCGTTTAGTAAGATAATTAAGTGACGAGGTGGTCAAGTCCACTATCCAGGTGTAAAACAGCTATCATATTGTGTTTATCATCTTCAAACAGGCTAGCTATATAAATTTAATTATCAACAAATTAACCAACTCTCAGCGCAATGCAGTAGGTAAGGTTGTGGTAAATATCAATGCAAGACAGCTAGGCTCGGATTGCACCTTTTTTCCCAAAAATATTGCTTTATAACTATCAATCAGGTAATGAAAGTTTTGTATCATTTATTGTAGAGATTAAAAATGCTGTGATATTTCTATTAACTTCTCATTTTGTTTTAAATGTAGCTATATTTAGCCCTATTTAGCAAGTTGGTGCAAACTTATACGGAATGCATGATACTGTACACAGACTATTTCAACTATAGTTCAGTTTGCACGAAATACTATTGCACTGCAAAAGTACTATGACTACTACATACGACACACTATACAGGATAAAAATCACTATCATCCGTGCATGTATATCTAAATTATTAAATATCATAACAAAACTGCCTTTCTATCCCAATTCATTTTTCTAATGTAAAATTTAAAAAAAAATATATGGAAAGAAAAACGCAAAAAAGTAAGACAACTTGTGAGGCTCGAACTTGTGATAAAATTTAATGTGTATGACATTCTAACTTTTCCATCAAGACATTTCAAATTCTGTTTCTTATCTGACATTATATTCGCTTTGAAAATCCTGTTTTACCCATTAAGACAAATGTTGTTAACTTTAGTGTACATGTACAAAAGAAAATGTAACGTCACTCTCACATTATCAAAGCGGCGTACTTATCGCTTTACGCACGTAGTAACTAAAAAAATACTATCATTAACATATATAAAAGTGATTAAACTGTAAAGAAATACATATTTTTTGATACAGTAATATGTTTAAGAAAAGAAAACTAATTTAATAAAATAAAGTCGCATGCACAGTGCTTCTATATCAAACCATTGTGTGTGTTCGAGTTAATTCTTATATTTTATATATTTGATTTTTGCATATTAAAAGCAAGTATGGTTTAGCATTTTTAAATGCGCGGCAAAATGCTTATATCATATATGCCTTAATTGACATCATTTTATGAAGTGTGACATCATTCCGCCTAAGAAATGATTCTAACAAGATATAAAAGAGAACCAATGTATTTATAACTAACCACATTTATTCTTGTCAAAATAAATGCGTGTAATTAAGGAAATTTGACTTTGCCTTGAGAAAGAATAAAAAACACATGATGTCAGTATAGAGTGGAATATATGAGCCTGGGTAACTCTTCTTTACAGACAGTACGTCCGTGTCAATGTCTTATTTTATTCACAAAACACAACAATGTATATACGTGAACTTACATCTATATAACCTGCTACTATACTTTGCTTCATCTACAATTGCTGTAAAGAGGGCACAGCTGCATTTCTAGAAGATTTAACTGTCCTGAAAAATCATAATATAACTTCAGCATAAAATGATAAAGAGCACATTGAAAATATTTCATAAGTGATCACATGTGCGAAAGTGTTAATACTGTAGGAACGTGTTCACTTTTATGTGCATGTGTAGTTATGTATTTTTGTGTGTTCGTGCGTACGTGCGTGGGTGTGTTACCATATTGCTTTATGTGAAATATAAGTCAAAATATGGAATGTCGAAAAATGTGTGATGTACAAAGGCTCAATACAGTTTTTCAAGCGTTTAAATTTATGTATAATGAAATATTAAATAACTGTTTCCTCAAACAGGCGCGTGTTTGTGACTGACCCATGCGATATCACCTTATGCGTAATGTTTATCTTAAAAACTAAACAAAGAGTTTTAATTATAATAAGAAAAAAAATATTTAAATTTTCATTTGTCCAATAAAAATCCGTTGTAAATGTCGAAAACTCAGTTCATGTATATACAATTTAAAATCTGGGTAATCCTGAATAACGTAGATAAATAACCAAAAATATCGAATGAAAACCAAGTTGTCTGTCCTGAATTGCGAGTATAAACTCGATCTTGCTAATTACTATTAATGCTAAAACAATACAAACAAAACCGTTTTAAAACTTCTGGTTCGTTGCGATATTTTATATTCACGAGTTTTAAAATTCTTACACCGACAACAGGCTCCTGATCTATGCTTCGTATCAATGTAAAAATAAACATATGAGCCGCGTCACGACAAACCCAACATAATGGGTTTGCGACCAGCATGGATCCAGACCAGCCTGCGCATCCGCGTAGTCTGATCAGGGTCCATGCTGTTCGCTTACAAACTCTATAACAAGTAGAGAAACCGTTAGCGAACAGGGTGGATCCTAATCAGACTGCGCAGATGCGCAGGCTGGTCTGGATCCATGCTGGTCGCAAACCCATTATGTTGGTTTTGGCGTGACGTGGCTCATATATTTTGACACCAAGGGTAAGTGAATTAACAGTTAACCGTTTAACTTAACACCTGTCGGCCATATTACATGCAATCATACACATTCTTTGTATTAATGTAAATAAAATATTCTGACAATTATTTTCATTTTATTTATTCGTCTAAATGTATAATGATTTAAATAAAAAAAAGAAATGTTTGTTTCCTATTTTTGTTTAAGATTTGTATTCATTTAAGAATAGGTTAATATAAATAAGAAATATAACAACATGTGTACAGAAACTTAAAAAAAGTAAATAAAATTGAAAAGAGCGGAGTCTTTAAATTGACTTATGTTTGCATCAAATAATGGGAATTTGTACAAAACTAAAAACTGCGAACATAAAACAAGTATTCTGCTCGTTAAATTATGAAGACTGAGAAACAATTTTATCTTAAAATTTATAAACCTATTTTTTAGAAGTACTAACCAATTTTCTTTTAAAATATGTTAATCTGTTAAATCTGATAATTTTTGTTATTATATTGAATAGATAAAACATAACCTATTTTTCGGCTATCAATTTCATAAATTACTATTAAAATAAATAGAATTTGAGTGTCTCTTTTCGATATGATCTTTCTTGCACATAATAAATAATTTGATTCGCACCCCTGCTGTTAAGTGATAATTGAGATCGCTCAAGATTATAAAGTCCAATAAGTTGACCAATCAAGCATACATAGGTCGTGTCACACACACTGATTAATCCCTTTGTACTACCATGTCCAGGGGCTGTAATACCTTGACATCTTCGGTGTTTAAATGTCGTTATTTTTAACTCGGTGTCTTTTTTACCCTGAAGGGAAGTTATGATTAACGCATTTAACAAATGCCCTTTTCATTTTTTTGTTTTTGTTTTTGCATTTTTCATACAAATTATCAATTAAACAAGATACAGTTTAGAAATCAAAATCAAACTCGTAACCTCCCAGTCTAAATTAAGGGATATATCCCTGCTTTAATTATCTAATCCGGCGGCCATATTGGATAGCGAAACAGATTAAACAGTGTTAAAGTTTTCTAAAAACAAATCAGTTTAACCCTGAAATAAGCTGTTGTTCACAAAATGCAACTATTCTATTGATCGCATAGTGAAATTGCAACGATAAAAAGTAACTTTTAACCTACCTTGTTTTGCAATATTCTGAATTTTATTTACTATCCATTTCCAATCCCGGTTTTTCTTTTTTTATTTCGCCCGCGCTATTTCTGATTGGTTGATAGGATTCACGTGATACAAAACCAACGCTTTAAACTCATTGGCTGTTTTGAAAACGCGTGATATGCCTAGATACCGTTTGTAGCATTAATAATGCCACTGATTTATATTAAGGTCGGGGATAATGCGGAAGAAAGCAGCATACTAAGACCTTTATTCGATCCAAAATAATGCAATATTACATGTATTAAATTGGAAATATCATGTATCCATAAACGATAACTTTGCATACATGTACTGGGATATACTTATGTCCCAGACATGTATAACATAACCATTGATACTTTTTCATAGGTAAAGCTTTGATTCTAATGCTCAATCGGTTATTTATTTTTTTGATAATAATTATAATAATAATAATAATATTAATAATAAAAATAATAATAATAATAATAATAATTATAATAATAATAATAATAATAATAATAATAATAATAATAATAATAATAAATAATAATACTTTATGATGATGGTGATGATGATGATGATAAAAGTAGTGATAATAATAATATAATGATGATAATGATTATGATGATGATAATGATGATGGTGATCATGATAATAATAATAACAATAATAATAATAATAATAATAATAAAAATAATAATAATAATAAAAATAATAATAATAAAATGATAATAATAATAATAATTATAATAATAATAATTTACACATAGGACAAAAGCCCCCCCCCCCCCTCCCCAGTCCATCAAACAAAAGCCTCCCTAAGGTTTATAGACCAGACTGATTACTTTCTATTTTTGCACGCCCAGTGTTCGGGAACTTGGGTTATACTTCAAATAAATCTAGACAAGTATGCGCCTTTCACTTTTATTTTCTTAATAAGCTTTGAAAAGCGATTGTCTGGAAATATTCATTTACATTTGTACTGCACAATGTATAATAAAGTAAACATAAAAAACATTCATATCATCAATGAATTATAAGTACGAATACACAATAAATCAAATTAGAACTTTTGTACCTTTAAATTTAAATCTTAATGTAAATTATCTTTTAAAACAATTGCATTTATTTGTTAAAATACATCAATTTCCAGATTTAAACTGACGAGATTCTCAATAACAATTGTTTGATAGACTTGGGGGGGGGGGGGGCTTTTGTCCTACCTGTATTTTTTATGGGGGGGGGGGGCGGAGCTTTTGTCCACCTTGTCATTTAGATGGGAAGGGGGGCTTTTTCCCGTATCCCCATTAAAATAAATAAATTACTTACTTACTTACTTACTTATACACATAAATGAAGTATAAAGATCCTTTCACATTATCTGCGGATTTCATAATTAAAATAAAACTTTATTAGTATAAGAATATTGGAGTATCGGTAAAAATTCGAAAGTCCAATTTAAAAAGGGATTTTTACTATCAATATATAATTTAGTATGTTCTTAACTTCAGTTTTTAAATCAAACTACGACAATTTTTATTTTCTTAAACAGAAATTTACTTTTACAAAAACTGTTTCCAAGACACATAATTTTATTTTAACCAGGTAACAAAAATGTTAATTTACATAGCACGGCCATGTTCCCCTGTCCTGAACATGTATGTTCAAGTCACCGAATTATGCAGAAAACACGGCTGATGGGAGACGAGGAAACTCGGGAGATGATGATGATGATATTTTTCAAGAAATGCTATTTCGAATAATTTGACATCATCTATCAACAATACATGTACATACACCCCAGTGACATCCATCTGATTCTAGCTTGTGAACTTAGATATAATTGGACCTGGCGGCAGGGTACTTTCAAAGTTTACTTTAAGATAAATCTTAATTGTGTCTTGTTTAAATGACGAATTCCGCCAAATTAAAGGATAACAACAACACGACGCTGCAAAAGCATTGCGAAAGAATACAGCAGCTATGTCTGTTTCATTTTAATATGTCGGGTTAGAGTCTTTATAATATCTAGAACAATATCACATAGGATTACAATTTAATTCCCTTATTTCGTTAGATGTATTTCGTACACGAATTATATTAGAAATTGACAGTAAAAAATACCGTTAAGACATTCAACACCAATTGCGCTAACTTACCTAATCGGAGAAAACCGACACTCGATATACCCTGCTGCGTTTATGATCAATATCCGGATCAATATCCTGCTTAATCAGTATTGTCTTCGATTATGGCAATACAGCACGTGGCTATTACACAATATTAATGTCATAAATGAGACCGCGCGAAAAGAAATCAAAATTGGGGAATTCGGAACTTCATACGATTTCTATTCAAAACTTGTGTACAGAAACGCAAATCTTTGTTTCCTGAAATAAAAGATAAGATAAATAAATAAATAAATAAATAAATATATGAATAAATGAGTAATGAATGAATGTATAAATAAATAAATAAATGAATGAATGAATGATTGGTTGATTGATTCAAAAAATGAATGAATGAATGAATGAAATATCATTGTTTTTTTTTACATATGCAAGTACATGTATTAGATTATGTATAGCCTATTTTTATAGGACATATATCAACGTAAAATTTAATTCGTGATTTCACAATTATTTTAACTTTCACGATTTCAACTTCACAGATCCACGATTTTATTATAATTAATTCATGTTTTGAACATCACAATTTCAACTTTATCATTTTCTCATGTTTGGCTTATCATTATAAAATATTATAAAAATTACAAAATAACATGATTCACCATAGATGCAAAATGCAAAACAGTACTATCTAATTGTGAATCGCAATTGTAAAGTATTCGCTATTTATCTGCGGGTGTATGCTAAAAGCAAACCAAGCGGTATTGAGCTAGAATACCGCGTCTTCATGTTACAGGTGGATGTCTTACACGTTCTGTGCACTGACGATATTATTTGTACGCAATTGACGCGTTAATAACTCCAGGAAATTTTGCATTGTGTTAATTGTCAAATGTCTGACAAATATATGATCAGACTATTTCTTTACTCTTACAGGAAATAGGCTATTCAGAAGTAAATTTTCATTCGCTATTTCTATATACAGAATCCGTATTTGCACGAATACGGAATTTCGTATTTTAGTAATATACGGACTTGTTATAAAAATTCCGTATATTAGTAAAATACGGACTTCGTACATCAAAGTTCCCGTATATTACGAGTGTACGGAGTTCGTATATGAGTCATATACGGACTGATATAATATACGGTCCCGTACATCTCCGTATATCAAGTTTCCCGTATTCTTACACGTATATTAATGATATACGGAATTCCGTACACTTCCGTATATCCATGTCTTTTTCGCAGTGTATTGAAAGGTATAAGTATTTTTCAATAATAAATAGGGACTCGGGTCCTTCTTATTTCAGGTAAAAGTATGTTCCAAACAGCATGTTGTGAATGTAATTTCAGTTTAAAACGTTACATTCAAGTCTTGTAAGTAATGTACTAGTAACTCCGAAGATGTCTGCTTCAAAACCGCTGTTCGAATGTTGAACAAAATATGAAACTATGGTTCCGGAAAAAAAGAAAAGTATGCGCTTTGAACAGCCCCAACTCGTTTTTTTTAATTGGTTTTGAGAATTGATTTTTAAGAGAACTAGCTTTGCAACTATGAATTAGTATCGGTTTGTTTATGTGTGCCGCATGATTTCTGATGTCACGGGTCACGTGGGATGGTCACACTGAGCTATCGCGTTACTGTTTGCAGACCGTTACTTTAGAACTAGATATTCCGGTCAGTACCAGTATCCAGTGTAATATTCTTACAGTTATTATTAGAGGATGCAACATGGTCCTTTTTTTCTTTCATTTTTATGTCATATTATGTTTTGTGATATACAATGTACATGTATATAAACTAGAATATAACTAATTTCTGACATTTCAAATTTTACCTTTACTATTTCAGAACTTTCTAGTAAATCATCAAGCCCAGTATCTTCAAAGAAATGTTTATCTTGTTCATCCTTATCAAGCATGACATCAAAAAGATAGGCACATCCATCTTTGGTTCCGATTTGCAGCAGTGTCAGAGGTCCATCTTTACCAAGTTGAATTCCTTCACTGTCAACAGCCAGCACCTCCTGTTGTTTTAATATACTTACTGTCTCGAGACATTTTTCTTTTTCGGAGGGTGAAAATATAGAAACCTTTGGGAATGACGCCATTTTATTTTCAGCAACTTTATCTGCAAAGATAATTCTTCTTCTAAAGATGTCATCAATGCAACAGATTAAAAAATTAATTTGTGATCTATATTTATAGCTTTACGTTTAGTTTTCCGGAATTCCTTATTTTTACAAATCTAAGGTACTGGTATAGTGGTCCAGTATTTAGTTAGGATTCAAACACATTTCGGATTTTTTTCCGCTTTTGATGAACATACGACTTTATTTTTTACGACCTAACAATCCACATACACTTAAACCTAAGCACACACTCCCACACACTACACTTTGTGACGAATGTGTTTGTAAAGAAGAAAATATTTAGTTGCCGAATCTTATCATTCTCTAAGTTGACTAAAATCAATTTAAGATAAGGCCACACTATCATTTTATAGCTAGCATGTATATGATATATTAGATTTATTTCATTAGGTCGGTTAACTTCCGTCTTGAATACAAAAAAAGTAGTTCAATACAATTGTTAGATATCGTGACTTAAATAAAGGTTATACAATTTATAAAAAATAAGATCATAACTTATATTATTTTGAAGTTAAAACCACATATATCGTTTTGATATATAAATTTACCATCTTTTGTCTAAAGTAGAGAATATTTTAGAGACGCACATATGCAAAGTTTGTAGATTTCAATAACGTAAAGTGTAAATCTTTTATCAAAGAATGAGTAAAAGACAAAATAACTTGAAAATACATGATAAAATGCCATTGCTTTATATATAGTCCAACATTTCCTTGGAAACATTCCTTAACCTGTTGAACTGCAACATAAACTTGTGCTGCATTTTCAACATACAGTTACCCAGCTTTTTATTTGAAACTGTCCATTTGTAGTTAAGGAAATTAAGTATCAAAATATATAAACTAAGTCGTCATGTCAGGTAGGACATATGTGAAGCCTAGCCTGATTGTATATTTGTAACACAAAGACAGGTCATTATCAGCGGTTCATTGTAATATTACATATTAACTAAAGAAATTATACGAAAAACAAACCTTTACTTTATTTATCATAAAAGGTATAAATTACCTGATCAGATATTCTAGCAACAGTTTTGTTTTATTTTATAACAATCCCTGTTTGTCCTTTTCTAAAACGAAACCGAAAGAGGATTTATCTAAAATCGATCAAGAGAATCCGACAATAAATTAAGTGGCAGTATAAACCGTAAACTTCGCGTGCGTCAGATATAATTATATATCAAGTTTATTGAAAGAGTGGTGTAGTATTTAAATGACAGCTGGTGGTATACATATTTTCCTTCATAGTTCATTATTAAATAACAGAGACACCCGGTATTTAAACTTTTTCGTGATCGACCATAATGTTATCATTGTTATGGTTAAGTATATATGCAAAGTTGAAGCCTTCGGTACTAGTTATAAACCTTATCTTATGAATAATTTATAATGAGGGTTCACTTTAAGCTTATAGTTTCTTACAAATTTAAATTATAATAATTTATAACTTAAGATCAATAATAAGGAAACCGTTTAGTATGTGTCTTAAAAATAAATGTTTCTCATATTAGATCACTCAAGTAATACTAATTAGAGGCACTTACTTCTTCACAATCTGACATACAAGCAAGATTGAAATGTTTTATTTTTCACTCTCGAAGTAAAAATGAATGTGAATAAAATCAATTCACATTGAAAACGTATTCAATAAGCGTTAAGTCATATACGAGTAATCAGATAATGAAGTGTATAATGATAAACGGGTAAACTGTGTTTATCTTAACTACCTATATCATTCATTGGTAATTTGAGTTGAGATAATAAAATGGCATAATGCCATAATAATTTATTTTCAAAATAGATTAACTATGGTATGATATAATCATGCCTCGGATGAGGTGTTGATTGGTCATCGGCGTGATGTTCCGAATGATTGTTTTCTAATCAGCGAGGTGTTATTTACTTGGATATACTTTTTGTAACATCTAAATTCTGAAAGACAGAAATTAACTAAATATGTTTTGTATATGTAAGAAAGTAAGTAAGTAAATAATTTATTATAGTGACAATTGCAATTTGTTTAAAAATACAGTAATTTAGATGCATTGAAAGCATCCGGCCCGATGGACCTACATGTATAAGTCAGCAAAACCAAGACATCATAATGAATTCCGATATTGATCAATGATATAATTAAATAGACAATAAATATATAAATTTATATATAGTCATATATACATTTACATTAAATTAAGTTCAAAAATAAGTTTGAATGGCATTTAACTATGTCATATATAGTTGTTCTTCAATGCAGATCTGAATAAACAATATATTTCGCTGATTTTCGCGGATAATTGTTAAAGAGAAATACCAATCTGTCAGATGTAGGTAAAGAAATGTATTCATCTTTAAGAGTTATTTCCCCTAGAATATTGTTGCGTATCTGATTATAATAATCACACCAAATCACAAAGTGTCTTTCGTCCTTGATCACGTTCGATGAGCAAAATCTACAAAGTCTTTCTTCTTTCGCGCTCCTATATATCGACCTGTTTCAATTCTTCAAGGTAAAATTCCAAATCTTAAATGACTGAGTAGCGAACGTTAATATTTTTTTTTGGTTTTAGAGCACGTAGTCTTCACATTTATGTACATTCTTGAAAGATCGATACGTTCGTTATTTAGCGATATTTTGAATGTCCACACGCCATTTGGTAGAAAAATGATTCCGAATTTGTGCATTTAAATCTGACATAACGACCATTGATCGTGAGTTGAATGTATCGCTGAGTGAAAGGTTATTAATAATCTGTTTTACGTCATGAGACAAGTTATTGTGACACATTGTTATGTCATAGTTAAACACCCGCTTTGTTAGTCTGTCATTATCCATTTTAATCAGTCTATTCCAGTATCGAATTACACAACTCCAACGACTGTAGATACGTGGCATCCACCCTGAGACCCCGTACATAGCTAATATCGGTGATAATCGGTGAACACCGAAAACATATAGCATTGCTCTGTGCTGGACGTTTATTGATTGAAATTGTTTTTCTCCCCTGAATCTAGTATAGGGGCGACACATGAGTTGAAAAGTTTTTCATATGCTCGAAACACAAAGTCTTTAAGATTGTGGATTTTATTTATTAAGCCGCCTAACCCCTTCCTGTTGCCTTTGATAAAGCATCATAATTTGCACTGTAATCAACTTTTTCGTGCATGATGATCCCAAGGTATTTGTACTTGTCTACAGTACAGTCTCTAACATATAATTTCCAATATGAAAATTGTAGTCAGTTCGTGATGCTCAACCTTTTCTAAAATGGACACATTTTGATTTGTCTCTGTTAATTATCACACGCCATCGTTTACACCATGCATATGTATGTGTATAAAGATATAGGATACCCTTTCATGTATTTAATAACTTTAAAATCTGTAATTATTTAAGACTGAATATCATGATTAAATTTGCAATACATGATAATAACGCAAAAAGACGTCATCTAGAGAAATTTCATTTTGGTAGATAAACATTTTCGTATTTCATGACACTTACATATCCATAGATGAATAACAATGTGTTAGTAAAAGAATAGTAGTCACGTGATCAACAACTATCCATATGACGTCACACATAAGTGTGACGTATTAATTTGTCCTCGACTTGTTCATTCCACAGTCAGGACGTGCATTTTTGTGTTCTCGCAAAAAGTTCGGATTATGTCAGATTCTCTTGAAAATAAGTTAGATGAATTTATGAGTTCATTTGATAATCGACTTAGCAACGTTGAGAAAGGTTTATCTGAGTCCAGTCGCGCAAGAGCGACGCTCTGAGGAATCTATTCCTCCAGCTTTAGGCCTCGTGGGCGCTAGTAATCCGACATTTTTGTCTAAAGCGACGGGCGCTACTAGTAATCAGCCGGACTTACATGCGGAGTTCAAATCGTTGAAGGAAAATTTGAGTAAGGTATAAATTCCGGCAGAAATGAGATTAAATGACAGTAGACAAGGTATTAAGAGAAGTGATCAATCTCTATTGAATGTCATTGTAAAATGTGGTCGGTATTGTGAAACTGGCATAAAACTGTTGGGAACTTTGGAAGCTGGCAGCTCTTTTGATCAAGAAATTTTGGATAACTTATTTCTTATTCATCACGCACAGGTTAAATATCTTCAAGAGGAGTTTGCTGTCTTACTTGTAAATGGTCAATTTGACACGCAACTGCCAAATTTGACACGTCAAAATGACAAATACTAAGTAAGCTGAAAAGTAAACTTTGCAAAGAGTGTTATTTGGATAGTTGTTTAATTGTTTTCAGTTCGTATCTATTTCGTATCTTTCGTTTGTCTAATTTATATATATGTTTTTACGGTGTTAAGCGATTTGATGATAAACATTTTCATGCCAGACTGTTGTATGTATAATACGTATCTTAAAAGCGATTCACTTTAATCCATTGTGTACGACTGCTGAAGAACAAACAAATCTAATTATAAAATCTTTTATTGAGTCAGGATAAGTAACATTTTTAATTAAGAGATAATTATTCTAGATAATCATTTAAAAACGAAAATGGTGTCATTATTTGTCTAAGTATACAAAACATTTTGAACGACAATACATACATTAAAGAATATTGATACTCCCTGAACCATAACAGTAATGATGAATCGTAACAAGACTGTTACAAATCATATAGCGTATGTAACTACTACTTTACGTAAGTTTCATTTCAATTTAGAGTTAAGTTGTGTAATTATCCATACAACTTTGTATGTGAACATTTTTATTCACATCAATATCTTATTGAATTCTCTGGCCTTGTCCTTAGTTTTATCTGGCAAACGCTCGTTTGTCATGAGGAATTTCAGCTTCTTAGGCATGAGTTCCAGTGAATGTCCGGATAACTTTCTAGCCTTGAAATCATCAAATTCTTTACATAGGAAAATGTGAGTCACTTTCCAGTGAAGGCTTTCGACAACTGGAGGGTAATTATTACGTATAACATCAAGTCTATCAAGAACTATTTTCTCTGTTTCAGTTAAATCATGCACATCGCTTTGCATATCATATTTCTTGGACAACCTTTCAATCACATATTTTTCGTTTAGTTTACGAAGCTTCAGAGCTTTGTTTCTTATGAATTCTGGTGAATTGACATCCGTTTGAAGGCGTATTATCCAGCGTATATTCTCTATTTCAAGATCGTGATCCGTTGCTAGTTTATCCAAATGTGTGTCAAGTTTACTTTCGATAACTTTCCAATGTAAAGCTAAAACAGTATCGGGATATTTGACACCATCAAGAAGGGGTCGGAGAGTAAGAAGCACGTTGAATTCACCGTCGGAGAGATGTATAAGTGGTGTGTCTGCACAATATTTTCTATTTATTTCTTTTGTCACGACTTGTATCAGATTTGATTTCACTCTCTCAGCATGTTCTTTCATCGGTTTTGTTCCTAGAAAACTGATTTCATTCAGATTAAAAATCATAGCAGGTGTCGGTCGGAACATTAATGGAAACTTGATTTCCTCTTCAAGAGTAACCAAGAACTTTGCATACGATTCTAGCTTCAATTTACGGATAACCTCCGGAAAGTCAAAAGAAATAATTTCATTGAGACCTTTGATATCAAGCGCTTTTCTCTGCAAACAATTAAAAGAAAGTAATTGAAATACTTCAAATTCAGAATATGTATTACTCTGTCAGAGCATTAATAACGCTGGATAAACATACTGCTCAATAATTTCTTAAGCCTAACTTGAAAAAGCAATACACCATCATCATAAAAATCAGTTGTAAAATTGTTATAAAATGCAGGAGAAGAATTATTGTAACACATTTTAACACAACTTGAAAATACTTTGCTCAATGTCCTAGTTCAAGTTATATAAATGTTGTGTGTTTAAATATTGAACAAAAAGTAGTTACCTCTTCATCATTAAGGTCATCTAAGACAGTCCATTCATTAGCCCTTCTTGCTATGGCAGATAAAAGAGATATGTGTCTGTCGTACAGATCGTCGTGATTCGTTTGAGAAGCTTCCATCTCTAATATCTTCAGAACTTTGTTTCTGAAAAGTAAACAGTGACATATATTTTTTATGTTTAAGAGCATTTTATTGATAGGTATATATAAATAGGAAGATCATGTTAAATATTAACAAGAATACAAAATGGACTAAAAAGTAGTACAAAAGTTTTGTTCTGTTTCTTCAGTAATTAATTTTCAAATTGATCTTTCAGTTTCTGAAAAATGAAATATTGATCTAGAAAATAAACAGAAAACTCCTTGATAAAGAAGGATTTAAGCCTTTGAAATGTTATGGATTGAAATAGATAGTAATGGAAGTAACTGATGCAGCATATTGCTCCCCTTTATTTTTGTATTAAGTAATTTAATTGGTCTGAGATTTTCACCTGAACAATAAACATACTCCATACAAAAATAAAGAGAAGTAATCTGCTGCATCACTACGATTGAGAATATGACAAATCGAAACAAATATTTGTTATAATTTGATATGGTGATTTGATTGAACATTTACTACAAATAAAAATTTACTCTAATATACTCTAATATTACCATCTTTAAATTTTGTAATTCTTACAAAAAACAGCGGTCATATCTCTGTTGTTCCTCACTAACATATTATTATTGTTTGAAATCATTGAAATTACAGCTCTATTTCCTTTAAGAGTAATCAATTCCCTAACATTTAGTACCAAGATTTTAAAATCTGGTAAAAAATTGTTGGAGTTATGGAGTTCACATTTGCATTAGCACTATATTGGTAATAACGCACAGTGCGACATCTCAGATAACGCACACTTTTTAAAGAAGTGTGCGTTATTCTAGATAAAAGAGAGTTATGACAATTCATTTGACTGTAGAGCAAAACAAAGAGTCATTGGACTATATCAAAATTAAGACTCAAAAATAACGAATATAATTATTCAGACTGGGGAGATAGATAATGTGGTTATGAGCCGCTTCACAACAAAACCAACATAATGTGTTTGCGACCAGCATGGATCCAGACCAGCCTGCGTATCCGCGCAGTCTGATCAGGATCCATGCTGTTAGCTTTCAAACCCCATAACAAGTAGAGAAACTGATAGCGAACAACATGGATCCTGATCAGACTGCGCGGATGCGCAGGCTGGTCTGGATCCATGCTGGTCGCAAACATACTATGTTGGTTTTGTCATGACACGGCTCATATAACTTTTACTTTAGACACAATTTGGACGTACATGTTTGTAAACGTATAATCATTTCCGGTGCTATGAGGCACAGCTTGTATAAATCCTTTACTGTTTAGTAAAATCTTAAAGTTAAAATTATAAGTCCTTGAGAATAATCAAATAATCGTTTTCCTAAAATCCATTTTTATTTTTTTTTATTTATTGTATTTTTTCTTTTCTTTTATTTTTTGTCATGTGATTAAAATATTCTAATATAACGACGGTTGCTGTAATACTATCCTTATCACCTCGATCATTTTTTTGTAGAGAAAGACGCTCGATGTCGCGCCAGGCTATGCTATTTCCAAATTAAAATGCCCTGATCTTTTATTAAACAAAATATGTATATTATTAGGAAATTTAAAAACGAAAACAAAGTATAATCCGGGGAAAAATATAATCGTATGAAAAAGATATCGTATCAATTAATATAATAAATTAAGAAATAACCATTTATAACTTACATATGTAATTTCTCAAGTAATATCATAAATATACACGTGACTATAAAGAGCGGATAACCTCTCTAAGGTTCTAAATTAAATCTTAATGGTAAAAAATATGCCGACATAATGTTCATCGCTTTAGTTGTGTTTGATGTTTTTGTATAAGAGGGCATTGTGAGTAGTGACAAATCAACGTGCCTAGCACCTTTGTAGAATATCAAGATAAGTATGATATTCTATATGTACGTAGAGCGACATGGACCTCTATATAAATAAAGATAAATACAATATTTACACAAATCATTGCTAATCGTTATTGGTTGCAACAGTTAAAGGATAAAACAAAAGTGAAAAAATAATGATAGTAGAAAAGTACTACTTACAATACAACAAGCAGAGTGGTATATCTCAAAATAATGATTATTTAAATCCGCTCTATATTTATAATAAAATCAATTAATTTTTGAAAAATTAATAACGAAAAAGGAAGTACAATCCCGGAAAAAAATCCCCATATCATTTATTTGAAGATATCTATAGTGATAAAGATATTGCGATGTAAACATGTAATTTCGCACGTGCGTACTTACTTCAAGCAATATATGAGTATAAAGAGCGAATAACCTATTCTCTAATGGTAAAATATACACCCTTGCAGTCATAATATCGTTTTGGTAGTGTGTTTTTCTGATTTTTATTCGTAGGGGGAGGGGGTATGTTTGTTTGTCTGTTGTTGTTTTGAGAAAGAAAAATGTTAAAAAGTTGTTAGAAAAGCTTGACTGAGTCGTGACCATTTGTGTGTGTTGGCTAGTCATCGATATTTGGTTGAGTTGAAAATATATTCAACTCACAAATAAAAGTAAAAGGTGATACAAGAGGAAAATGATAAAATTGTTTCAAAGTTAAGTTATTGGCAATACAGGGTCGTGGCTTAAATACGTACAGTTACATAGAATTTTGCGAAGGTTATTTGGCCCAACTTTTTGTATATAAAACCCAAGTTGCTAGGCGAGGGTTATATTGTAAACAACCGTTTATACATGTAAACGTTCACAGAGCCTGTCAACAATCTTGATAAAAAGTTCATTACAAAGAACATTAAATTTTAGAGGTAAACACGAAATAACATCATAATTTCACAACAGCCGTATATAGTATATAGCTTATATAAACGTCATGGTGTGCAAGTAAGACATCTAGACCCCTTGACTTCTCGACCCTTTAGTATATTAAGATGACATCTAGACCCCTTGACTCTTAGACGCCTTGTAAGGTGACTTTTCGACCCCTGTTTTAAATGTTGGGCTTTAAAAGAACCGTAAATATATTTTGAAAATATTGTAAGACATATATATAATTTCTAAGTTTTTTGTTTAAATTTATATGTTTTTTCTGACAAAAATCAGTTGCAAAATTTACATTTTTTAAAATTTAATTTTGGTGGTTAATACACAAATCACAATTTTCATTTGTTTAATAACGGACTAAAATCGGATTAAAGTTCCGTGGTTTAATGTAATGGTGCTTATTTATAATTTCATCATTAGCGCATTAAGTAATATTTTTTTAATACTAACAAAAAATTTGTAAACTTCAGTTTATTGTTTTGTAAGACATAATAATGCTACATTGGCAATGAACGTTTACACTAAAAAAATATTGAATTGTGTGTAATAGTCTACGGAAATGTAATTATTGACTGCGAAATAATTTACGGAAGCTGACCCCATAGTTATCAAAATAAAAAATAAAAACTATCAGTAATTTAGGTAAATGATATTGTTGAAGATATATTTATTGACTTGGTCTGTCAGATATTTACAAAAAATATACATGACTCACTACAAAAACAATTAAAATTCGTTTCTGCAATGGTGAAAATAAGAAAGAGCGTGCTTCAAACTGTATCCAATAAAAATAATTAAATAATAAAGGATTTATTTCTGATACACATTTAATTACTTTCATACATATTTTGACCACAGAAAAATTAAAATGACCTTAATAAGTTATCATCATACATCTCCCGTGTGCTGGTTTAACGTCATACATGTATGTGTTTAATCAGTGACACGTGATAGGATAAACACCGGCGCGTGCCGGTAAATAATCAAATTATCGGTCATTAGAATAATACATGTTTTATCAATAAAAACATGACTTTAGTATAGGTAAAAGTTTATTAGTACGTATTTACAAAATTAAATTGGTAAGGCGTAAATACGTACTACTAAATTTTAACTGGCTTAGTGTTTTAAATTATTTTTATTAACAGTCCATTTACTAGACTGATTAACAGTTTGACGGTTTACCACAGTAAATGTGTTACGATTCATTTGAATTACTACAATCCTATTGGACAAAAAATAATTTCAAACACTATTTTTTTTTAATTTTGTTCAAAGATGAAAACTTTGTATTTTGCAGGTATCAGTAGAATCAATTATTACAAGGCACGTAAACGTTTAAGCGTCGTACAGTTCACTTGTAGTATTTGCAGTGACGCTCCTTCAGATCAAGCGACGCCTGATCATGACAATTCCGTTGATCATTCAATTTCGGGAGCCGCTTCTTTTCGTTATGATGTCTCGTCGGCAGAAGCAAGACTACATTGCTGTTGTCATATCAATCATTAATTATTCCTAATATGAATGAAATTTACTTGAATTGAATTTAACTAAATTGCAGTTCATCATATTTCAGTATATCAATATAAATATTTTATAATACAGGTATTGGAAACTTTCGTACCAACAATGATACAGAGGATATGCACTATTTTTGTTATCTTGTTAATATGAAAAACGAGTTAATTAGTAATTAATAACAAGTAAGATAATATTTTAATTTTATACAGTCAGGTAATGTCGATAATCATTCTTAATAAAACCTAATGATTGGATTGTGTCGCAAAAGTAAAATATAAAGACATTGGAGAATTTATTTTGCACATTTTTATGTAAACTGTTTTTGTTTCGTTTGCTTTTATTGAATATACGTTGTTATTTTTCTAGGATGGCATAGACGTCTTAATAGCCAGGCTGGTCGAGACGTGATTCCCTTCTATGTTCTTCTCACGTTATTATTGCAAGAGGCAAAGCTTGTGAACATACATCTACAATTGGTCACGGAAGCTGGCGTCGTTCGCTATCGAAGGGAAGTTAGCAGAAACATGGACGCAAAAGTCATGGACCTATGGGACATGTATGACGCTCATGATGTTGTTTGTGAGGAATTCCTTCTAGAAATAGGGTCGATTTACGGAAACTTTTAGACAAGGAAATGTGTAATTGGAAAAAGATTATAGACGCTGTAGAGCAAAGACGTACACAAATACAGTTTCAGAAAGTGTATATATTGTAAATATTGTAGTTATTGCA